CTGCTCCCACAGAGTTATTAATATTACAGTGGTGCTGCAAAGCCCTCTGAGGGGAGAGCAGTTGTGGAGATCCATATTTTTGTTAGGTACACTGTGTGTTAGAACTCATCTGGCTGCCTGCTGGAGAAGAGGGAGAAGTATTTTTATATTAAATACTAGTAGGCGTTTTCCTTTTGTAAGTGCTTTAAGGAACTTGAAGGACAGGCCAGGTTTCTTTAAATGGAGCATGTTGGCAGTTGGCTACCGTATAAATTATAAGAGAATGAATCAGTCCTTTAACAAAAAAGCAAGTAAGACCATTCTGAACCATTCATTCATGTGTCATTCTTCCCTAATTCAGTATATTAACAGCTTTGTTTGCAGTACTTCATTCACTTTTCTGTATTCAAGCAAACTGAAATTAAATATTTTCCTTAGGAAATAAATACAGGCACAATTAGATTATATTGCCTTATCATTTAATTTCATTATTTGGATCAAAATTGATAATCTTCCTTTAGTAATTTTTATTTCTATGATTATTTCCACATCAGGGACAGAAGTTAAACTTGCAAGGTAGTAATTAGCAGAAGGGTTTTGACAGAAGCTTTGAGTAGAATATATGTGGTTCTGGTTTTCTGAAACATTTGTGGCAACTCAGCCATGCTGTTAATCAGGAAACATCCTTTTTCCTATTTTTTCCCCTTTGTCTCTGATATTTGTCACTGGGTCAGTGACTAAGCTTCCTAACTAAATGTTTTAAGGGGTCACATCATGTGAATAAGTTTCTTTATCTTTACAGCTGGCTCTGTTTCTAAAGTATCCTGTTCTTAAACAGTCTTCTCTACTTTGGTTATAATGAAGAATGTGATTCTGTGATTCATTTGTATCTGTTATTGGCCTGGCTTCTTTCTGGTTCACACACCTAGAGAAATGTACATGTATAAAAGGTGTTCATATGTTCTGTTTTCCTGTACTGGGAACTTTGGAACAGGACATTTTCTAGGCTTTCCCTACCTCCCACCCAACTCACTTCCTTTCCCCAGTACTAAACAGCTCCCTCCCCTAAACACTGAGAAGACAGATCTGTTCAGCTGAGGCAGGTCAGTGCTGGAGCAAAATGACGCTTGGCTGGAGGGAACAGGGAGATGAGGAGAAGGTTCTTGCATAGCTGTAAATGGAACCATGTGACTGTACTTTAGGGGCAGCGTGGCAGCATCTGATTTTGCAGGTGGTCACTGACTATAATTGTGTTCCTTTGTTCTTACGGATTGATTTCACAGTAAGTCAGGGGATAAGAAGTGTTTTAGAAAAATTGTTACAAGTGTTTTGGCAGTCTTAGTGTCATGTGAGGGTTCTTTGGGACAGAATGTCCCAAGGCTCTCAGGTTTGTAAGGTGGTTTTTTTTTTTTCCTCAGTCTGTTCCTCGTGTAAGCCATGGTTTCCATAGTCTTAATGGTTGTTAGGTTGGACAGATTCTTTTCTTTTCCTTTTTCCAAATCTGTAGATGTTTTACATTGTTTGCAACTGAAAAAAAAAAATCCCAAAGAGACATCTAAAAGTATTTGGGAAATTTGAAGAAATATAAAGGATTCCAGTGTCGTAAGTTTGTGGTATAATTCAACAGGGAATGTGTGTGACATTCCGACTATTTTAACTTCAAAGGGCAGATGTGGAAAGATGAAAAAATCTTGCTTTAATGTATTGTTGTGTGAGACACTGCAATCCAAACTGTGTCTCACTGGTGTGCTGTCTGGGGCCATACACTTGGATATTTCTCCCTCCCGCACAAGTTGACAAGATAAGCATGTGCCGTCAGTAGCACTGGAATGACTTTTTTCTTTTCCTATCTTCTTCCTCCTGTAACTACAGGATTGCCATGAGAAGATTCGTGTTCTCTCCCAGCAAGCAGCCGCTGTTGTGAAACAGGAAGGGGGTGATAATGACTTCATTGCCCGTGTCCGTGCTGATCCTTACTTCAGCCCTATCCATAAAAAACTTGAAAGCCTGTTGGATCCCTCCTCCTTCACTGGACGTGCTCCTCAACAGGTAAAGCAGTGGAAAGAGGCCATGGGTGCTATGCATTGTAATGCAATCTGTTGTTTAATCCTGCATCCTTTTGTATGCCAGAGAGTGGACATACTATGTAACTCTGCCCATATTACAAAGGCAGGCACATTTCTCTCTTTTGATTCCCTTGGCTTTCTTGTCTTTCTTCCCTGTGGGCTTTACACTTTTGACCTGGGATGTATCAGAGTGGTGGGTGTCTTTGTGAAAGAGAGACCCAGTGAGACAAGCAGGTCTGAATGGGGAGGAGAAGGCAAACCCTTTTCCAAATTTTGTTTCTCATCTTTCTTGAACAGGTGGCAAAATTCCTGAAGGAGGAGGTTCGGCCAGCGCTGATTCCATACCAAGGCAAGATGGGTGGGAAAATTGACCTGGCACTTTAGGTATAGTCTGTGAAGGTGTATGGTACAAGAAGATAATAAAAGCCTTATTGACCCAGATCTGTTTACTGTATCATGTTATTTTAGTTCTCTGCTGTGCATTTAACCCCCAGTTTACAGCCACCTTGATTGCAGATGGGCTTTTCATTCTTTGTCTGCTGTTTAGTCAAGCCTCCATTTGCTGAGTTATTGAGAAACACTTGGATTGTGACAATGTAACTTTATCACAGCACCTTTCATTGCACTGCCAGCTGTCAAAGAGCAATGCCAGGTGCTGCCTGACATACATGTAGGACTGACTTGTTGAAGAGTGGGATAAAGGGAACTGAGCCCACTCCCATTTCCGTCTTACTTATCTGCTCTGAAACTTTCTCCAAAGGTGACTCAAAAGATGATAAAAGTTTGTCCTGGCTTTCAGTGTCCTGTGATTTGGGGAGCAAATAGGCCAAAACAGTAGAAATAATGAAAGAGAGAGGCCACGGACCTTGGCTCATCAAACTGGTGGTCCCTTAGTGCTTCCTTCCTAGTTTAATAGGGTACCTCTGTCTCTGTAGCTTCTGGAAATAATATTTGCAAGTTTGGATTAGGAACTAGCCGTTGTGATTTGGCTGTGATTGTGGTCCTTGGCCACAATCCTTGTGGTCCTTGGTCACCTTGTAGGTGATTGATACTTAATGGTAGGTGGACTCAGACATGTGAAAGTTGATCTCTACTACAAGTAATTTTTTTCTTATAAGGAAAGAAAAACTATGCTGGGATTCACTGGGTGCCAAAAAAATTCAAGAGCTTTGATTTTATTTCTGACATAAAAGTTCTGATTTGTAACATCTGTGCCTTATTGGCCATTCAGTATTGGACCAAACTCTTCTCCCTTTGACTTAAACTGGAATGGTTCCCTTACCTCTTCTTCCGGTGCTATTATATCACAGACCACTTCTTTTGTGTCAGTGCAATAAAAAGCTCCCTCTTGCCTCTCATTTATTCATATTCTCAGAGATGAAATGACTGGGATTACTTAATGATTTTTGAAGTGTGTTTGCTGGAAAGAATTAAGAAAAGCAGAACAAATTTAAAGAAGCTACCTGCTGTCTTTGAGGCCATCGTTGTTTAAAGAGGATTTCAAAATACAGTTTTAATAAGGCTTGTCTATATTAAGTAGTCAGAGCAGTGGGAAGCTTCAGGCTATGATTTCCCTTCATTGAGATTGCTCTGGCTTTACCTTCCCCCTAGATTATGGCATTCAGAATGTCTCAATATTTCTGAGTTTTATGGTGTTTAAAACATTTTGCCTGCTTGTGCTATTAACATTTAATTAGCCATCTGTTTGGAAAGGATAACTAATCGAATGCTGGTAATTTTCAGACTATTACTCAAATGGATAGCCAAGAAAGAAAACAGACATATGCAGAAGTCTTCCTTTTTTGGTCCTCTTTCCTCCTTAAAAAAAAAAACAAACAAACAACAAAAAAAAAAGAAACTGTACAGGGAAGAGGATCAGCTAATGTACCTTTTCTCATCATCTGGAAATAAATCTTTGTGCTAAGCAGAGGCTGCCAGCTGTGAAGTGTTGAACTGGTTTTCCTGGAAAGTTTTAAACAAATAACAGTGGCACAGAGGAAATGTCACCCTCCTAGAAAACTGGCATGATACACCGATCCTTTAAGAGACTTCTACTCCTTAGTTTATGACCTGTCTTCTTTCTGGCGTTGTTGGCAGTGACACCAGCCAAAGATGTAGTTCTCCCCTCTCCTTGGCTGGTGGGAGCAGGTCACCAGGCAGTGCATCAGGAGCAGCTCTTGACTGTACAGGTCTCGATTCTCCCCCTGTGCTCAGCACTGGTGAGGCCACACCTTGAGTGCTATGTCCAGTTCTAGGCCCCTAAATTCAGGGAGGACATTGAGGTGCTGGAGTGGGTCCAGGGAAGGGCAATGAAGCTGGTGAAGGGTCTGGAGCACAAGTCTGATGAGCGGCTGAGGGAGCTGGGGTTGTTTAGACTGGAGAAGAGGAAGCTCAGGGGAGATCTTATTGCTTTCTACAACTACCTGAAATGAGGTTGTAGCCAGGAGAGTATTGGGCTCTTCTCCCAGGCAACTAGGGACAGGATGAGAGGACATGGTCTTAAGTTGCACCAGGGGAGGTTTAGGTTGGACCTTAAGATGAATTTCTTCACAAAAAGGGTGATTAGACACTGGAATGGGCTGCCCGGAGAGGTGGTGAATCACTGTCTCTGGAGGTGTTTAAGGAAAGGCTGGACGTAGCACTGAGTGGCATGGTGGTGTTCGGTCATAGGTTGGACTCGATGATCTCAGAGGTCTTTTCCAGCCTAATTGATTTTGTGACTTATCCCACTTCTGGATAATTCTGCCCCGTGTCCCTGCAGCCCGTCTGTGACACTGCCGCTCTACTGGCGGCGCCTGGGTCTGTGCGCTGTTTGGAGGGGCGATTCCCCCGGCTCCGAGCGAGGGCTGAGCACCAGCATTCCCACGCCTTCCCCCGCCTTCCCAGCCTACAGCCCCCAGCGCGCCCCGCGCCGCCGCCCGGATCCCGCGCATGCGCCAGCGGAGCGGCGTGCGGGGCCGCCGGGTCGGGGCCGGCGCCCGCCCTGAGGGGAGCGCGGCGGCAGCAGGTGGGTGCGGGGCCGGGGCCAGCAGCTGGGTGGGGGGCCGGGGCCGAGGAGGGGGCTCTGCCCGCGGGCCGCCCCTCACCCTGCGGGGCTGCCAGCCCTGCGCCTGCCCCCGCGCCGGGGGGGCTCCCCTGGAGCCGTCGAGCCACCTTGTGAGGCCGCCCCGCGCCCACCTCTCCCCCGGCACCGGCTCCCCGCCCGGGCGGCCCCGCCGCCGGGCCGTGTGTGGGGCGGGGGCTGCGCGGCCGCGGCTCCGGTCGGCGGGCCGGGGCCGGGGAAAGGGAGGGACCCCTATCCCCGGGGAGGTTCCCGCGCACCTGCTGCGCTGACGCAGGGTCTGGCTCCGGCGGTGACTCATGCTGTGCACGGCTCCTCCGCCGGGCTGCTGGGGCACCTTCTCCCTGTGCTGCCGGCGTCCCCTTCTCCCGGCTGGGCTCTCCCCTGCTCCCCGGGACGTGCCTCTCCTCCTGCCTGTGGCTGCGACTCCCGGCGGTCTCGTCCCTCCTGCTCTGCCGTACTCATTTGCTCTCCACGCTTGCACCTTTTCGGAGGTGCCCCGGAGGAGAGACAGTCAGTCTCCTGTCTGGCTGGGGGGAAGGAACGGTCACGGAACAGAGATGGAAATATGGCAGTATCCTCTAGGCAGTGGGCACAAATAGACGTGCTGCAGGCCCTGTGATTGTCAGCTGTAATAAACGTCAGGAAGGCAGGAGACAGATGTAATTCCTCTTACCTGGTGATGCAAATTCTTGGGAGCGAAGAACCGCTGTCACACAGAATTAAATCTCGTTGCAGGCAGTGGCTGTGGGCTCCAGGACGGCTGTTGGTGTCTCTTCACAGATCTGGTAAGGCTGGGACAGGAAAAATTTCCTGTTCCTTCCTAATTTTTTGAAGCATGTCTGAATTTAAGCAGGTACTTTCCTTCTAAACGAGTAGATTCCAGAGTTGTGGGGGGAGGGATTTATGTGATGTCATAGCTTCTTACTTCATGATGTCTCAGCCCTACTCTTCATAGCTTGGTGTGATTTTTTTTTTGGGGGGGGGAGGTTAAAGTAGTAACAGTGCCTTCAGGAAATGAGGGATCTGTTTGTGCAAATAGATGGGAGAGAGAAGCAGTCTTGCTGGAAGTATGATCAGTGTTTTTTCAGTAGTGCAAGACTGGATCGTGAAATCACTCAAGAAGGAACTGCCAGCCTAGCAGGAGTGGGGCACTGCTGTGCTTTTGCTGAGCTGTTGATCAGAATACAGTTGCTTGCTGGATAATCTGAATTCTAGATTAGTTTTTTAGCTGCTACAGTGTCTGGAGTGGTGGCCTGAGAAGAAACAGCCACTGGAACAAAAATCAATTTCATTATGTATTTCTGGATCTGCACACTGTGCGTGTAGCTTTCCCTACACAGAAACAAAGGTTGGATTCCTACTCTGGAGAATTCACAAAGTAAAAGGGAAGGAAGGGGGTGGGAAGAGGCATGACATGTAATTAAAGAGGCCAGGGTGGGGACTGGTTGTGTCATGTTAATACAAAGCTGCGTTAATTCTGTATTTAACAAATTAAAATGACAAGTACTTCCTTTCTCAATTCCTGTTTACGATGATGTTTTGATAACGTGGCTTGGTATTCGCAGGGAGATGTCATTCATAGTGACTCTTCCTCTGAAGAAGGGGTGAAGGGAATCTAGGAGGGGCAGCAGAGATGAAGAGTGTATTTCTGGAGGAATTGTACTGCTCAGGGTAGGAGAGAGTCGAGGTGAGGAAAGTACTGCACACCTGCTCAGGACTGAAATAATTCTCCGATTTTTGGGTCCCTGCTAATGTAATTTAGATTTTTCTTCTTTGCTGTGCTTTTAACCTGTCCCTTGCTTTCCTGCAAGATGAGATCTTTTGCTAATGTCAGTGTTCTAAAGGACCTTGACAATCTTAAAAGACAGGCAACAATCAAAATGTTTAGCCTTTAAAAATCAATGTCTCTCACCTGAGGTGTTATGGTAACAGTAGAGATTATTGATTAAGGGATCTGTGTGAAATGGGCTGCCAGCCTCAGTCCCATTCTTAGTGAATTTGTTTGCATGTTGCAGAATTGTTTCCCATGTTTGGTATTTGGGATGCTTTAACAAAGGAGTCGATGAGTTCATCCCACATGAGTGATACCACAGTCGAGGTAGTAACTGTTTTGGAAATGGTTGGGATGATGTCTCTTCCTGACTGTCGATTGCAAACTTCTCACCAACACATAAGAAGTGAAGAAAACTTTCAAAAAATAAATCCTAAGAAGTATTGCAACTTTATCTGCAGTGGTAAAGATAAGGCGCCTTATATTTTGGTGTATGTGGTTCTACAGCTCTTCTGGCTAAATCAGCAGTGACCCTAGTTGGTGGTCTGTATCACAGTGGGTGTCCTGGATCCCATCCTAGCTCAAATGGATAGGATACAGAGATTTTGCAACTGTCAGGTAGGATGAGGTAAACAAATAGCTTCATTCTGTGCTGTGAATGCATTGTCCTAAGTGTCCCTCAAGAGATGGAGAGGTGTTGGCACATCAATTTTGTGTCCTCAGCCACACAAATACTTGCTTAAACTTCTTTCTATGCCACCTTTCATCGCAGGGTCTAGGTTTTAAATACGCAAAGCTTACACAGGGTAAGTATGTGGGAGCACTGGGGAAAATCTCACTTGTCAGCTGTGTTACTGTTGACACCAGGTAGGAAAGAGGAGGATGTTGTCCTGCCACATTTGTTTTGTCTCTGAGGAAGCCTCAGCTTTTTTTAAACTGGAGTGCAAGAAGGTATATTGGTAGCAGAGCAATTTTGTTTCTGTCTTGAGGAAATCACCCTAGGAGAGATGAAAACATGTTTTTTTATGAGATAGGTGAGAAGAAGATAGTATATTGGTATAAGTATGACTACAAGAACTGTTGTTACTGCACAGACAGTGCAGTATTTCTTGACTGGGAAGTATTTGATGATTCAGAAATGAGAGAAAATGTCCATAGCCTGACAGCCCTTCTTTTTTGGAGAAGAAGTCTTCCTGATCCCCAGAATCAGGAAATATCAGAGCTGTTCTCTTGTTTTGTTACAAATGTTAACAGTCATTGTATATTTTGCTTTTTTTCCCTCTTAAGTTATCTGTGCATATAGATTTCTACAGGAGCAAGATCTAAGTAGTCAAACATGACATGCTAGGTAAGGGCTTTGCAAACAGTCCTGAGAGGTGTTTTGAGTGTTACTAACCTCTTCAGAAAGTTAAGTTCTTTAAAGACAGAGCCCTGAAGGAGAAAAGTTTCAAATGCTGTGGGATACACTTCTTAAAAGCCCATTTTCTGAAGCCAAATGAATCGAGACCTTCTTAGAGTCCTGGGAGGTGAATCTGACTTTTTTTGTGAATACTGGAGGAAATAGTAATGCAACAGAGGTACAGGGGAGTGACCTGAATCGAGTCTTTCCGACACCTCACCAAGATGTCGGCAAACCCTGACAGCTAAACCTCTGCGAATCCATCTGAGGCTGCGTCAAGGAAGAGACACTCTTCAGGCTCTTGTTCCTTTGTCACTGGGAACAGTGGGACGAGACCAGCTTGAGAATCAAACTTTCGCCTGGGATGAGCCAACAGGACTGGTGATGGAGAGAGCCTCAGATGGCACTGCTTGTCACCACTCGGGGTAGGAGTGTCATATAAAAGACTTCTCAATACCTGATTTTAAATAACTCTCACACGTGTCTTTCAAGCTTTCTCTGGCTGCTGCAACCCTGCATCTCTAGCAGAAATATTTTCTTTCAAATTTCTGTATTGAAATGAAATTGGAGAGTTGCAATTACTTTCCACAGACATCTTATAAATAGTTTACAGTCTTGAAGAAGTTCATGGGCCAGAAGGTGAAAACCACTTCTGGAGAGTTTTGGAGAAAACAAGTTTCTGCAGAGTTCTGCAGAAGTGCCCTGGTCCTGCACTGTGTTTATTTAGGTGAAAGTGTCCAGTACCTGACTGTGATGGAAGGTGTGTTTGGACCCTCCTTAGACACTAATCAGAAACCTTTGGTTTATATTTACCTCGTGTTTAATGTGGAATTGCCTTTACCCTGAGCCTTGAAGTCTAGGGTGATTGCCCTTTTTTGCACATATGGGTTTTCTCGCCTCTATGTTGGAAGCAGGGAGAATTTTACTGTGCAGCAAGAGTGAATGCCATGCTAGTTGATATCCTGACCTTTTTTTCTAACCTCATTCAATGCAGATAGAAAACCCCAGCAACTGTTGTGTTAGTACTTAACTGTAATCCTGTGTGAGATGCAAGGAGCACTCTATATTCCCATCTTTTCACCAGTTATGCAATGGCAACACTGGGAAAGGGGAAACTCCTCCTCCTCTGACCCCAAGGGTCTTGGCTAACTAGATTTTCTCCGCGGTGGTGCAGTTCATGTTTAGCTGGCACGCTCTTTACTTTGGAGCCAGGCAAATAAATGCAGTTCTGCTCTGAAAATAAGATCTCTGTTCATATGTAGGATATCTGCATTATACATAAGCAGGTGTTGTGTAGAGTTTTTTTCAGAGACAAGCTTGACACATAGAGCAGTGATCAGGAAGTCCATCTATGTGTGTCTGTCTGATGCATAAACAGTAGGAAGCAGGATTCTGCTTTTTCACATCCTTATTTTCAAAATGAGATTAAATGGATACAAAACTGAAAGTTCCTTGTTCTGTTCCTTTTGTATAAACTGACAATGGTTCAACACCTCCAGCTCTGTCATTGCAGCAGGCAGACTTGCTGGGCACCAAACAGGGTACAGAACTGTTGCATGGAAGTACATTTTAGTTACATTTCTGCATGGAATTATATTTCCAGTGAGGCCAGGAATTTACAAGGTGCTTTATGGCAGGAGACACAGAGTTCCACTTATTGTTGCCTCTGTTAAGTCTTGCTCTAAGTTCCCTGAGGCAACTGGGAGGCACTTTGCCCCACCACATTCCTGCAGTCACTGTGATCCCAGTTGATGACTGGGCAGCACTGGAGTCCTGTGTGGAGCCTCTGCAGTCAGTGCATAACACTGTCTGCAGTTTGCCTGCCTGCCCACCCTGCTCTGCAAGGCTGTCACAGCCTCCCCTTCGCTGCTCTCCTGGTCTCACATCCCCCTTTCAAGGCTGGCTCGAGGATTTTGGTGTATCTCTGCTTCACTCTCACTCTACCAGAAAGCAGGCTGAGGGCAGTAAAGTCCTTCAGCTCTTCATTCCCAGTCATGTTGTAGAAAGGAAGCACAAAGGCTCCCTCAGCACCTCCCACCTGCATTTGTGGTGTGTTGCTCAACACCCAAAGCAATGTGAGGCTGGTCATGGTTTGTAAGCCTTGAACAGATAGTTCCTGGAATGACCCAGGTTCACCAACACCGTAACACAGCTGCTGTGTGTCAGCGTCTACATAGGATTCTGCATTTTTAAAAAAGCTAAGGTGTCAGGGTGTGAGGGACAGAAATCATCTGCATCTTTTGCACCCCTTGGTCAGGTGTGTGTCTGTGCTTTGCTCACTTATGTACTTGTTTGTGAAGCTGGAGTTTTCTTCTGACTCTGCGTGCAAAGTAAATATTGACTCATGGACTAATGGCATTTGCAGCTCCAGGATATGCCTTTGCCTGACCTGAGGGAGACACTGATGGGGGAAGGGAAGGAAGGCCAAGGGCTTCCTGCTGAGAGTTCCTCTTGGACATTTCATTGAACAAGTCAGGATTATAATTCGGAAAACAAAAGTTTTCTGGGTGTGAGAGGATAGAATTGAACTGCCTGATTCAGTGCAGAATTTTTGTCTGATTTCTGAGAGAGGGAGATGTTAAATTGGATGCCATCTACTTGGGATTTCGAAAGTTGAACTGAAAGAGGCTTCTAGAACTACACCTAAGTGCATGGCCTCCTGATGGGTAATGTGATTTTGCAATCACTTTTCTCTCTTCCAAGCGTTTTGGTTTTTAATAAAGCAAGAGAATAGAGAGCAGTGGAAACCAGCTGAGAGTCCAGAGGTGGCAGTGGGATTTACTGCATTCACTGTTGCTTCACATTCATTAAACGTAAAGGAAAACAGAGTTTTTCCAATGCTAGTTTACTGTCAGAAGAGGTGTTGTATATGCCGTTCTTATGACAGTGGATGAAAATTATTCTAGAAGGAATTGTTGTGCTTGTTCTGGTCCTTCTGATGATGTTTACTGGTGGCCCCTTTGTAGCTGTAAAGTTTTCAGCATACAAAAACATTGCTTTGTGAAGTGTTTGTCTTCTGCACAGCCTTTTTGCTAGAGGTGTGTTGTGGTTTGTTTTTTTCTTTGGCTTCTTACCTTTTTTTGTTGCTAAAATCAGCAGGGGAATAGTACTCCTGAGAAGGACTTTCTGTCCCAAAATAAAGATCCTACTGAAAGGCTCCAGACAGTCATCATTTCATGCTTAGCACATCCAGGCACTACTACTGGAGGCTTATATGGAGATCACGTGGCAA